GGCCAAGGTGCTATGAAACCTCTCGTTGTCTCTTCCCCAGATGTGCGAGAAGTTTACCGTCTGCGAGAACAGCATGGAAATGCTCGTCCAGAACAACCTCAACCTCCCCAAGGTGACAGAGGAGGACGGGTGTCTGCTTACCGGCTTCAATGAGGCAAGGAATCACTGCTCTCCTTTCTGGTCTAATCCTCTATGCCTAGGGCAGTTTTTAACTGCTCCAAAAAACCTGTGGGAGTTGACCTAAAGATTTGTGCTGGCTCTAGCTGGCTTTGCCGTGGCACAGACTTCCACTGTATCAGCATCATCCACTTACCTGTGCTGCACACACAATACCACAAACAAGGTGTTCCTGAGCTGTAAGTGACCTTCTTACCTTTCTCTCATTTCAGGATAAATGCTTGATGAAAATCTCCAGCGGGCTTTATGCATTTCAGACATACCTTCAATTCGTACAAGAAAGTTTTACTAGTGAAAAACAGAACATTGAATCACTGTGCTATACTACAGAGCACCTGGCCCGCACCATAAAACAGATGGTGAGTTGGTTTTAAATTCACTCCAATAATTGTTATGGCTTAGCACTGATGTGTAGTCAGAGAACGAGGATGCTGTGTGAAGCTCAACGTCTCCCACTTTCATTTCTCTTAGCGGATACACATGTTGGTTTCTTCTGCTCACTTACCCTTATGACTAACTTACAGGTTTTACAAGGTTCTGTTTCCTTTCCTTAAGGAAACAGCTCTTCTTCCTACTTTCTATTGCCGCTTCTAATTTCCAAACCAACAATTAAATGCATCATTGTTTCAAGAACAAGTACACTAACACTGCCTGGCTGTTAGAAATAAGATTTCTCAAGCAGCTTGTTCCTACGTGGAACTGCAGTTCAGTCCAAACTTTCTAATGTCGCAACCCCCTGAGAAGTAGAAAAAAAAAGAAAACCAAACTTTTTTTTTTTTTTAAGAACCCACATAAATAAGAGAAATCACATCTTTACAATATTACTAATCTTTAAAATGCTCCAGAACAAACTTTGAAGCCAATCTACTGATATCTCTATATACTATCCGGCTTACAAATGAAGGAAGACAGTTAAATTCAGAATGTTAGTGACAACTAAATAAAAGGTGCTGCCTATTGAAAAGCACACGCTTTGATTGTAATCCTAATAATAATAAAAATCTTCCTTCTTTACAAATGCCAGATTCTCTTTCGATTCAGTAAACTAAATGCTATTCATTTCTGACAATCATTTTGGAGAGCTTTGAAAGATCATGCTCCAAAAATTCACTTAATTCCTGCAGTTCTTACTCACATTAATAACCCTTAACATGAATACTTCCTTTTGTCATCAGGGAAACTATTTGCCTGAGTAAGAACCATCCAGGTGAGTAAGGACTGCAGAAATCTCAGGGCATGATTTCCTTCAAGGTGTTTTTCAGCATCTGAAAAGCCCTCTGTGTGGTTGCCATACCTTGTCTAACATTTACTTATGTCCATCATTCTTTAAGTGAAAGGGAGCTGAACTGCTTTTTTCACACTGTGCTAGCTAAGAATAATAGTCCTGTCATAAAGGCAGCAACTGACTGCTGGCTTCCAGCTTGATATAATAGTTTGCAGAAAGTTTGTTTCATAACTGCGGGAGAACAGCCTTCTTTGGAAAATCAGTAGGATCAAGGCAACTGGAACAAGCAGAATGACACACAGCAACACAAAAGCAAAACCTGTACTTGAGAAAATATGTTTTGAGAAGGAGGTGTCTTGATCTCCAGGTTTGAAAACCTTCCTTTACAAGAGAAGCCTATCTGCTGTGAAGGCAAGGAGAGCAAGGACAGCATCTGTCACTTGTGCTCAGGCTGATCCATCTGCATGCTGCCTGACTGCATATACAGACACAAAAAAATTTCAGAGCATGCAATGAGGAGCTGGATACACCAGTAATGGGGTGTGTGATCAGAATCCACTTCCAAGTAGTCTGGACTGAAAGAAATTAATATCTTACTGAATTCCACAAAAAAAAAAAAAAAAAGATGTTCCAGAAGGAGGTGTGCGTGCCTTTGACTCTTGTGAAAGGGTAGGAGAGATCCTAAAACCAGGATGAAGCAGATGATACCTTAATGTTAGACTTCTAGACCCCAAATCATCTAAACCAGCTTCATGATTTGGGTAACTCCCTTTTCAGAAGTCACCTACCCACACATGGGACAAGTTCTTAAACGGCATCTGGGTACCACGTGCCAGCACTGTCAGTCAGCATTAGGTACATAACTCCTGTTACTCATCTTGCAGTCAGGATCCCACACAGGAGTGAAAGTCGGTGACATCGAGTCTCCCTCGTGCTTAAATGCCTGGAAAGTAAGAATTAGGCAGCTAAACAAGCTTGACATCTTTGGAAACTGTTAATCTACTACAAAACAGGAGAGTACTCCAATGTCATCTAGTTAACTTACGACTCAGGATGGAGCAGCCAATACAGGTTAGGGCCAATCACAATCTGCATCTTCCCAACTAACCACACGGTTGGCAGGTAACAGGAGAAGCGTATGGACCTGTTTAGTGCAGCGTGTTGGACGGCAATGCCAGATGTTGAATTCAAACCAGGACAAACAGTACAGAGCAGACAAGACCCCCTGCTTGTTCTGCAATAACCACAGCAGGCATCAACATACCTCAAACCCCACGACAGAAGTGGGGCTATAGGGAAGCACAGGTCCCAGGGAAGTCTGCCGTCCGCAGTACAGAAAGGGTGGATATGCAGCTGGTTGGGAACATGTCACACACATAAACTGGTGCTCCCCAACAAGCTCAATTACAATGTTTTAACCAGGACACCCCAATATTGTCTTTTTCACAGGTGATCAATCCCGATGAAGTTATTATCCCGGACTCGGCTACCCAGGAATCCCTCCGGGCAAAGCTGAAGTCTGATAAGACTTGGATAGAGAAAATCACCACCCACCTCATCCTCCGAGACTTTACTTCATTTATGGAGAAAACTGTGAGGGCTGTTCGCTATTTGAAAAACACCAGGAGTTTCAGTGTCTGAATGTTTTAATTCAGGCACAATCCTTTGTTACAAATCTGTCATGTGGCAGATGACAGTGTTGTTCTGTTTTAGGAACTAGAAATAGTAACAATGGTTTGCATTTAGATGCGTTCTCATTTCCTTTTAGGAATCTATTTATTATATTTAAAATATTTATTACTTTCTAATATTTCCTATTTATATTTTCAATATTTAGAAATAATTTAAACTATGTATTTTATTTCACTGCTAATAGTATTATTCAGAATATCAACTTATTTAATATGTATTCAACAAAAAGTATTTTCAGAAGCCAGAAAAATTGTTTTATAACTTATACTTTTTAAA